CAGCGATGCATGGTTCTTGTTTACGGGATTGTAATGTATAATGTGACAAATAATTTTGGCACAGTGACCTCCTAAAGTATGACGTTCGGAACTTTTGTGTTTCTTATTGGCTTTGCTCAAGGCTTCACTCTCGTGGGTTTTGTTGAATTATAGTCTACTTGCTAGAATAAGAATTAGAATCAAAATCAGAATATTTATTGGCGTTAAAACATGATAATATATTATGTTACAATAAATAACTTAGGGCTGATTTTTCAATCGTCAGATATCTTTTTTTAAAGAGTAACCTTGTCATTTTGACATATTTGCCATACTAAAACTGTCAATGTGTCAAACTTATGCTTCAGTTAAAAGTTATCCGACGATCGAAAAATCAGCTCATATAGAGTTTAATCACAGTCTGTCAGACTTTCACGATAGTACAATTGACACTTTTTCGTGAAGTGCCATAAATAATACCTATCAATCGATATCTTCATAACAGGAAATACGGCCCACTGAATATTCCGCAGATATTCCACTTCAAACCTGTAGGCCTAATGCAAACACATTCCTCCATTTGCGCCGGCACCGTCACAATCGAGCCCGAACTCGATACTGCACCGTCAATTGAACCGCCCTTTGCTACTTGCAATCGGACGCGCCGACCGCCGCGGCAGGCCGGTCGTTTGTCCGCACTGTACAGTGTCCAATGTGTATGGGGCATTGATTTAAACCGCACGCGAACACTCGCCTGTAATTAAAATCACACGAGTCATAATATGGCTATAAGGGAGGAAGGTACAGCAGTGTCACAGGAGTGATTTGTTAACGAAATTAATATTTGGTTTGGTGTGGAGTCAAGTCTCTACATTTTGGCACAATGACCTCCTAATTTAAACTATGACGTTCGGAAGTTTTGTATTTCTTATTATGTTTGCTCTCGTGGATTTCGTTGAATTAGCCTATTTAACAAAAAACTTAGTACAGATTAATCAAAATTTGTCTATTTTTTGTGAAAACATCCATCTACATCCAGATTATCACGATGCGATCGTATAATTGTCACTTTTTGACAAGTACAATAAACCAATCAATCGATATCTTCATAACAAGAAACACAGCCCACTGAATATTCCGCAGATATTTCACTTCAAACCTGTATGCCTAATGCAAACACATTCCTCCATTAGCGCCGGCACCGTCACAATCTAGCCTGAACACGATACTGCACCGTCAATTGAACCGCCCTTTGCTACTAGCAATCGGACGCGCTGACCGCCGCGGCAGGCCGGTCGTTTGTCCGCAGTGTACGGTGTACAATGTGTATGGGGCATTGATTTAAACCGCACGCGAACACTCTCCTGTAATTAAAATCACACGAGTCATAATATGGCTATAAGGGAGGAAGGTACAGCAGTGTCACAGCAGGGATTTGTTTTCAAAATTGTTTGATTGGCGCTGTGTTAACTCTCTATAGTGTATACTTGTATACCTAAATATTTTTTCCAGTAGAGTACTGCTCAATAATAAAAATGAAAAATATCTATGTATTTTCATAGAATAGCATGTTACTTGTACATATTATCACTGTCCCTTACATTGTCTAGTGTCTGTCCTGTGTAGAAGAACACAGATTTCCAAATACACAGTTAATATTAGTATATCGTTAACATTTTTACCTACTTTTAGACAAAACCTTTTGTTGAAGACAACCACGACTACGATTGTGACACACAGAGAGTAAAAATGTTAGTGACCTTAGGATTATCAACTCTGTTACGGTAGGTAGGGTTTCAGGAAAATCTGTAACTACAGTATTTTGCCATACTCACACCACTTACGCCCGTATTTACAAACATTACTACTGTAAAGTTGAAATATTGCTTTATTAAGCAGTTATTATTGTAACGGCTTTGAAGTATTGCAATCTTTTTACATCATACATTCTAAACATTGCTATGCGGTCTCACAGTGCGCGTGGACGCACCGAACCAATCACAGAGCTCTATTCAAAGCTGTGCGTTCGATTTGCTGCTTAGCTTAAGCAAGAATCGTTTGTGAATACGGAGGTTAATTTCATACTGCTAGCTATAAACCAATCCTACCGCTCCAACGAGTGCTGGGTCGCTCTTCATTTCTTAATTGAAAGTGCGAGCTGGACAAAGACAGCTCGCGAGCCGCCGCAATGAAGGAAATATGAGAGCTGTGTCAAATGGATTTGAGTGCCGCCCGAATTATGGAGATCAACTTGGGCACTTTGACATCGCGGTCCTTTATGATCATGAATGTAAGCGAGTGACTTTGCTGCTAAAAAGGCAGATCTGACATTCATTTCTGTCAGAATGTGCCAAAATAATTAAGGCTGAGTTGCACCACTTTACTTTAACAATAACTACTTATAACCATAACCGGTATTTTTGCATGCAGTTTGACAGATTTTTGACGTTCGTTAAAATTAAAGTAAGATTGTTACAACCCAACCTTAGCAATAATTATGTGCCTACTTGTAATAAGTACAGTTACAGATTAGTTATTGATTTTGAACTACTATTACGAAGGAAATGTCTCGATAAGATAGATACCCTTTATGCGACAAGACCTCTAAAATTTCACTTGGCAGTCTAACGCCCGTATTCACAAACATTACTATGAGGTATGAAGACCTAGCGTGGGCAGGCCTAGTGAGAGACTAGGTGGACCGACGATCTTGTGAAGGTCGCGGGAGGTGCCTGGATGCGAGCGGCGCAGGATTGGTCTTCGTGGAAATCCTTGGGGGAGGCCTTTGTCCAGCAGTGGACGTCTTTCGGCTGAAACGAACGAACTATGAGGTACCATATAATATTTTAAACTATTATGTTGCATTTTTTACTATAAAATTATCACTTCACGGGATTTATTGCAACAATATCTATTTTAACGGTAAATAATATTTACCCTCCCGACGTTTCGGCTCGGTTGCAAGAGTCATGGTCGCGGGCAGACTGAAGAGATGCGGCGTCGTCTGCTCCGGCGCGATGAGTTTTCTTCACCCACCCGCATTTGCACAATATTTTCGTCAGTGGTACAGTCAGTCCGACAAACTACACTAACAGTGTCCGGGTTTCTCTGAGACGGCCTAGAACGCGATTTGTACTTCGTTATCACCGGATTCCACGCTGATGATAGGTTAATGATGATGCCCGCGACCATGACTCGTGCAACTGAGCCGAAACGTCGGGAGGGTAAATATTATTTACCGTTAAAATAGATATTGTTGCAATAAATCCCGTGAAGTGATAATTTTATGAGGTACCAATCACAGAGCTCTATTCAATGCTGTGCGTTCGATTTGCTGCTTCACTTAAGCAAGTATCGTTTGTAAATACGGGCGTTATTGGATTTGTCCTGAAAACAACACTAGTAGTTCACTTTGAAACACCACGCTACTCGTACTTTAAAACTATTTAGGCCGGCCAGTGTTCCGTCCATAAAAGTCACGCGAATTGGGTGCAAATGTAAAAACGGCAAGTGCATCCTAATTAATGGGCGCGGAACGGCCTGTAATCTGTGATACGCGACCAATTACGGCGTAATTAAGCCTGGCGGCGCTAGTGTGGAGCGCGAGGACCAATTTAGGCTGTTTTTAATGGTATTTTGTTTTTTAATAAGTTTTTATAGTGTGACGTGTAGTTCGCGCCAATTAATATTGGCAATCTTGCAAATATAGCTAAAACTGAAATCTCTTTAGTGATTTGAGTAAAAGTCTTTGCAAAGTGAAGTGAAATCGAACGTTAATGTTACACTTATAGTTCAATTTAATTTATATTTATAAATAATTTACTTACTTATTATTTGCGCAGACTACTTTTAAGTAAAACGCATACACGAATGACACGATTTACGCTAAAATTATAGTACAATAGCCCATGTGGAATATGACTGCAGAAGTTATTTCTATGCTTATTTCCATCGCCGTTTACAACACAATTCACAGCTAACAACTGTGTTTGTAATTTGCTACAAAGGCCTGTTATTACCCATACACGTGGGAAGTAATAATAAGACATCAATACTTTTTACTGCGAACACTTAAATTACCCAAGTTTTGTCTACTATGAAAGTACAATTGGACAATTATTATAAGAGCAATTAAAGAAAAGTATTTGATTGAAAATGAGTCATCATTTTGTCTTTTAAACATCATCTATTTTAGAACCAAATTACCGACTAATTAAATCCGAAACCATAATTAAGCTAACAACACCAAGAGTTCATTGCCAGTAAAATTATAATCTTGACACAAAAAGTTAATTTCAAGTAAAAAAGGTCAATGTAAAACATTTTTATGTGGTGGATGGTGTCTCTGAAACTATTGCTATCGTTGTCAAAAATTCCTGAAATAAGCTTGGTAAACTTAGTTTTTTGATAGACCGAAATATTTTTGTAGTTATTCGATTTAAATAAATAATAAATAACCATCTAAATTAAAATGTCTCTATCAAGTACCTAAATATATTGGCTGCTATAAATCTAAATCGGGCAGGTCACAAGTCGGCCATTCATTCGCTAGATCCCAGCTATTGTTTGCCTCAGCTTTGAGGCACTGGACCCTTTTGAACCACACATTAATACCGCGCTGTTAGCATTGTCTTTAGACCTAACCTACGTTACAATATGTTCGAGAAGAAATAGCTAACAGTCTAGATATTGTTACTTCAATTCGATTATTAATATCGTATTTCGAATCAATTAGCCATATAGGAATTTAAATTATTGAGTTTTTGATACGATTTCTGATATGAGCAACAATAAGTTTTAGTGAGTAATGCCTTCGTGAACCGTGATACTTAAAGCGTAATAAAATACTTACCCCAAACTAATAATAAAACTTACACGCGCGTTGAATACTTGTATAGAGTGACGTTTAGTATGGAAATGTCATTTTAACTACTGTTCAACGAGTGTGTAACTTTTTATTAGTAAGAGGGCTAGAAGGTGTACAGAGAGATATATCTGCTAATAGAGGTAGTGTTTACGTAATGTGCATCGGCATCAGTACGTCATTTGCGATTATGATGCATACATACAACTATGCTGGATTATCCATTAATGAAAAGGCAAAGTGCCTTAATGACGTTAGGTAAAATTAAAATCAAAGCCATTTTCTTAATATTAAGCCATTTATATTCGTGTGTGTAAGTAGCTAATTCCATTACTTATATCTTAGCCAGTAATTTAACTTAGGTAAATGTGTTTAATACTATTAATATGATTTTAAATGACCGAAAGTCGCTCTACGTCGGTATAATTCGTTGCGTGACCCTCTTGATCCTCACTTGCTTGACTTTCGGCCGTCACATGTTTCTGAACGCCCAGTCACCCGCGACTAATTGCTTTTAAACCGATTCCCAATATTGACCTTTGTTTGAAATCGACGTACCCTCACCAAATGTCATCTCGTGCCCTTGGATTTGCCATTAAGAGAGTTTTAATGGCGCAAATTGACATTAACGCATCCTATGCTACGAGTATGTATGCTTATTCCAGCACATCCTTACGCCCGTATTCACAAACGATGCTTGCTTAGGTGAAGCAGCAACGCACAGCATTGAATAGAGATATTTGATTGGTTCGTGTGTCACCCTGTGCGTCCACGCGCACTGTGAGACCTCATAGCAATGTTTGTGAATACGGGCGTGTATTTTAAACGAACCTCTCCAACGTCACCCAACGTGATAGTTAAGTAGTTTCTTGAATAGCTATATTCTTGAGTCTCAAGAATGTATGATGTAAAAAGATTGCAATACTTCAAAGCCGTTAAAATAATAACTGCTTAATAAAGCAATATTTCAACTTCACAATCGGGAATTATTTTTTTGCCGCACAGTCCAACTTTGGCCGCAAGTTCAGTTTATTGCTCTCGCGTGTCCAACTACAGTTTAACGAATTTGTGATCCGAAAAAAACATGGTGAAATTATGAAACTGAACACATAAAATAATTCACTACTCGCTTTTTGTGAAAACACCTGTTTTGCCTTAATGAATGCTTTAAAATTTTATCGCCCAAATTCCGACTATAACCGATTTATTTGTAACTACAGTGCAAAGCAATAATATATTACGTTGGTTATAATAAATAATTGTAACAGTTTCAGTGTCGAATAAATTTTATTAAGTGTCCCATTTTCGGCATAAATTTTATAATCATTTGGTTGTTTTTACTGAAGTGAACGATTGGCCAATGTGTAGGCTCTTCTGACTGATTGCTGTCAAATGATGTTAGTTAATGTCGATGTAGAACTTGGCAGTACTACACAGTGCCGTATTATCCATAAGGCACTTTAGGCCAGTGCCTAGGGGCCCACTATGACCAGGGGCCCAGCACGACCGATAAAAAAATGAAAAAAAAAATTTTTTTAAAGATTATTTTTATGCAACAAAACTCAAATCATCTCAAAACTTCGCCTTATTTTGGTTTACACATTCAATCGTCATATTTCGATATTGTGGAACCTAATTCATATTCGTAACGTTGGCATTACTGCTTTGGTTTACATGACAGGTCGACAGTCGACGCCCTTCAGAGGCTAAAAAGCCTCACTGCGGAAGCTAGGGAGAGGGGTGAGGGTGTGTTGGCTGTATCATTCGATATAGCCAACGCTTTCAATACCATCCCTCATTCCACCATACTCTAGGCACTTAAACATCACAGAGTGCCTCAGTACCTACGAGCGTTGCTGGCCAATTACTTACGGGACCTCGAAGTCCTGTATGTTAACAGAGACGGCCAGCTCAAACGGCGCGGCGTAGCCAGCGGGGTTCCGCAGGGTTCAGTGCTCGGTCCACTCTTGTGGAACCTGGGCTTCAACTGGCTCCTCCGGGCGTCCTTCTCGCGGGCATGAGTGTCGTATGCTATGCAGATGACATTCTGGTCACTGCCCGGGGGAAGACATATGGGGCTGGCGTCGGCGGGCGGCACATTAGTGGTTCGCAGAATACGATGCCTCGGCCTGAAACTCGCACTGGAGAAGACTGAGGCCCTCTTCTTTCCGGGGCCTGGCCAGCGCACTCCTCTCGGCGCCCACATTGTGGTTGAGGACGTTAATTAGGATTGACGTCAAAGGTCAGATAAAATATCTGGGCCTCAGGCTTGACGGGAGATGGCATTTTAGCCCGCACTTCAACGGGCTAGCGCCACGCCTCCTCAAGGCAGCCGGCGCATTGAGTTGGCTCTTCCCGAATTTGGGAGGACCACAAACGAGGTGTCGTCGACTTTATGCCGGCGTTCTGAGGAGCATGGCGCTGTATAGCGCCCTAATCTGGGCGGACGCACTCAACAAGAGGGAGAATTCTGCCCTTCTGCGCAGGCCCCAGCGGGCCACATAGCGCAGAAAGTCGCAAGGACCTACCGCACGGTAGGGCACGCTGCGGCATGCGTCCTCGCTGGTACTCCTCCTTGGGAGCTAAAATCTGGGGTCTTGTCTGTCATCTATCACTGGATGGTAGACCAGAAGGCGCGTGGAAAGCGACCGGCCCCGGAGCGGCGCGGCGCTGTCAGGTAGGAAGAGCACGAGATCATGATCGACCGCTGGAAGGAAGACATGACTCGCGCGCAGTTTGGCCGCCGCACTCTGGACGCCATTGGTCCTGTTCTGGACCAATAGTTGAAACGACCGCACGGGTTCCTCACGTTCCGTCTGGCGCAGGTGCTGACCGGGCATGGCTGCTTCGGTTCGTACCTGCATAGGATCGGGCGAGAGGAATCCCCGTGGTACACACAAATGCGGCGCGGCGGATGACACGGTTGCAGCACACCCTCGCGGTCTGCACAGGCTGGGAGGAGCAGCGCCGTGTCCTCACTGCGGTCGTGGGCCGGGATCTTTCGCTTCCGAGCCTGGTCAACGCCATGCTGGGAAGTGAAGGATGCTGGATGGCGGTCGCCTTCTTTTGCGAAGAGGTCATCCTTCAGAAGGAGGCAGCGGAACGCGAGCGGGAGAACGATCCTCTCGCCTCATCGCTCCGCGGGCGGAGAAGGGGGTGGAGAAGGCGGTTGTACGACCGTTCTACTCAGCCCCCAGGTGGCGGCCAGCAGGCCGGAGGTGCGGGGGCACCCTTGTCACCTCCGTCTGACGGGAACAGCTTGGCGTTTCGGGCCATTCCCGACGGATCCCCACAAGGGGGGCGTGTAGGATCCGCCGTGTAGGCGAGCTGTCGCCTGGGGTTGCGGAAGTCTAAGGATACAGCTGGATACTCGCGACACCCCCACTTAGGCGATGACGGAACGCCGCGGAGGTTTTAGTGGGTATACTCCGTCCTTTTCAGGACGGAGCAGCGCCCTGCTTAGGGCGCCGGGAGTCCCACACACCACCCTGTCCCCCAGCAGTGGTGACGGTGCGCAAAGCATTTCCTCTGCGACAAAAAAAGGGGGGCCCGAAACGAGCTGTGCCTAGGGGCCCCGAGATGGTTAATCCGGCCCTGGTACTACAGAAAGACAAAGACTAAGCATTTAATGATTTCCAGCGTAATTGTAATAATTTTTACGCAATTTATTGTACTAACGAAACAAAATAATAGAAAGTATCTAATTAGGTAAGTACCTACTTACCTATTCAATAGTACCTATAAAGCTTTCATAAAATAATAATTTTAATGAAACCGTGACAAAATTACTGCCCTTAAAAAGCGACGAAGTGTTTTAATGTTTTCCTACGCACCTCAGTCACAAAAAGGAACCTTTTGGAACCTTTGTGAAGGCGGGTTGATTATTCCAACGTACTAATTAAGCGTCCTGGACACTAGATCCAGGTTCGGAGTTGGGCCGACTTCCGTCGTTATCATACTAATGGACTCGCGCGTAACTTGACCGTATTGAAGGGCGCTGGCTTCATTGGGAGCGAGCATTACGGAGAGGCGGTGGCTCTACTAAGAGCGAGTAAACATTTTTTGAGGGTGAAGGATACGGATATCTCATCTAGGGCGGGTAAAAGTTAATTTTTAATGTTGCATTAAAAGCTTGAAATTTTTTTTTCAACACCAGTTAAAACAGTTTTAACTAATCTACGTAATTAATCATCGATCATCGGCTATAGTTTACGACTGAGAAATGACAAAACAAACTCAATTTCAGCTAAAGATCGCAGTTATGAATGGTCAAGAAAAATTGCATTACATCGACGTCATCGTCGTAATCACCGCTCGCCATCGAGCCCCGCCCCTATTGTCGCGTCCCCACTGCGTTCATACATCTGCATACTTGAACTTTGTCCCCAAAGCCGCCTCCCTAACTGTTTCGCTTATGAATTTTAAACTGCGTGATGAATTTCGCAAAGAGTTTTAGCTTGTGTTGTGAAGTTTCGAATTATTTTGTATGCTATTTGATATTTTCCATTTGTTTATATTGTTTGTGTTTTGACTCGAGCACTGAACGTACGTTTTGTGAAAATATGTACTAACCTAGTTTCATTCTAAATTCCACTAACTACGGCAAGGCAAATAGCGAGCTATGATTTTTAAAGTGACAATGTTTTGTGTACTGTGCACCAACGGCAAATTAAATAAGAGGTTTTGGTTTAAATAGTTCGGCAATAAAAAGGTTAACTTTCAGCTTTTTCCCTATTGTATTCATTTAATTAAAATATGTACCTTTAGTTTGGTTTCTAAATAAAATTACTGGAAAAATGTCGTCAAAGTAAACCTATGCGTAATTTGTGTTTCAACCTGCGTGCAAATCTTCCTGCATGCAGTTGATGTATAACCAGGCCTGTTCATCTCCGCGAGTTTGCATCGAAAACAAAACACGCGTGACTACACCTCCTGCCTGAGATATCTAATCAACAGGACAATCACGAGCGAGCATTGACGCACGCATGTGTATTCTTCACCCATTTGCATTGTAAAGACAATAAACTTTGTATGTAAAATGGTGGTATAATTAATTTTTTTTTATTTTTTTTTATTATTTTCTATTGACGTTCATAAGTGCCACTTGTGGTCTAAACTGAATAAATATTTTTGATTTTGATTTTGATTTTGAAATAGATACTGTGCAGTATTTTAACTGCCTGAATAATAATAGAAACACAAAATATAATTCAAGGTTATTCACATATTTCCTCCGCCATTATCAGCAGTTCAGTTCAGCAGGCATTTCACGTCACACATCATTTTACCGAAATTAGCACTATGGCTTCGGCGCAGTACCGATCACTGACGTTTGTCAACAAAATGGTGCTCGATTCTTGAGACAAGCTAAATTACAGCATATTGTTAACGACATTGAGCATACACTTTTTTTTTAAACCTTCGCGAAGAAAACCTGTACCTAGTACCACAGAATAATAATAAGTACTGCGTACAGAAGGTTTTCTTGGGCTTCAAAAGGGTGAAGAAGGGTCGTGATTGTTCTGTCGATTAGATATCTCAGGAGGTGTGGTCGCGCGTGTTTTGTTTTCGATGCAAACTCGCCGAGATGAACAGGCCTTGTAGTACTTATTATTATTCTGTGGTGTAACGTGAGCTCTTTGCCCACAGCTGGTGTGCGCACGGTGGACGTGCAGGCGGTGGAGGGCATGGTGGCGCAGTTCCCCTGCGACCTGGGCACGGCCGCCAACGACAAGGTCTACATGGTGTTCTGGTTCCGCGACGATGCCGGCATACCGCTCTACAGGTCAGTGCTTTTGATTCTAAGGAAGAGTTGCACCAACTTACTTTTTTTTTAAAGATTTTTAGCATTACTAATAAACTCATTAGCCCATCGTGTTAAATAAACTTGTGTTACGAGTGGGCTCACCACAATAGTCGAGCAGCGGTGGGATTCGAACCCACGTTCCTCGGATCTCGAGTCGGCCACTCCGACCCCTTCACCGTTCGGCTATCATGGCTATTAACTTTCACCGTAACTATATATAATAATAACTGGTGTTTTTTGTACGGAGCTTGACAGATTTCTGACGTTTGTTAAAGTTGATAAGATGGTTCAACTCGGCGTTAATAAATTTTATATGTGAAGCAACTTGATGCGATTATTTTATAGGTACTTCACGCTGAAGGCACGTGACTTTTTACTCATGTGCTGAAGGCATCGGACTGCCGATTCGAGGGTCATTTTGTAGTTCGCTGTCTCTGTCTACAGCTGAACTGCGTAATGGTAAACCCACTCCTGGCGCAAGAATAATAATTAGCTAAGCTGAAGGCGTTAAAGGGAGTTGTGTGTAATTTTTATTTCCGAGATTATTACTGTAAAAATGTAGAATCAATAAGCATTTCAGCCTGTCCATTTCTTAAAAATACTAAAAAAAATGTGTTAAAGATATGTATAGTTTGGTTTCCAAAAATAGGACATATTATAGGAATAGCAAGAGTTATTGCTAACTTGACTACTTGGCATTAAAATTGAGTAAAAGTGTGCCTCATTTTAAACTCTATCGGTTACATTAACTACTTCACTATTCACCCTGAAGCTGTTAAATCAATATGCAACAATGGCTTTACCTCGTCACAATGATAACAGTTGTTCGCCAAGTCCGTTGACTCGGTTTTGGTAAAGTGACAGAACAAGTCTGAACTGCTGCGACTCAACTTGTCAATGGTTGTTCTGACCTTTGTTTCGTGCTGCATTGTCTCGGACAATGCGAGGAGCATCCTTTGTTCAACTTGTAATAAGTAATTACCTATGACGTAGAACGATAAAGTGTAGTCAAAATACGAACTTGATTTTTTTATGTTCCGAAAAATATTAATTTGACTTGGCACAACGAAAACTTTGCTTACCATAATAAAATGACAGCCAGCGCACTTTGTTTTTGTAGATTTTAAGCAAAATAAACCATTTGATAGCTTCCAGATATTGCTTTGGAAAACGGACTTTTCCCCTCCCTTTAAATATTTAAAATAAAACTGTCCTCTGTCTGAAACCTGTTTCAAAGACCTCCTCTTCCTCTTTTACCACCGCCTAAATAATTCATTTTATTTTCTATTACATGAGTGTGTGACCTTCAGGTACCTAGTCTTAAGGTATTGACATAGTTGAACACTAGCTCCCATAATGGTTCGTCGGATTCCTGCCTCATTTGAATAAATAATTCCGCGTGTAATGTATGCCAAGATCATTAATGAACACGTCAAGCTTTGCGTTGTTTATCTGAACTCGCTAGTTTACCCACGCTTTTGGGAATGTTGGCGGATCTAAAATGCAAAATGAGGTAACAAATTATTCTAGACCCAACTTGCTCGGCTTAAAGCCTTGATCACACGTACCGAGTAATCGGGCGAGACAGTGCTCTCGGCTGAGTACTCGGTGCGTATGAACATAGCGCCGAGTGATCGGCCAAGTGCTCGGCCGAGCAAAGCGGCAAGACAGTAGCTCGACTCCCGTTCTACTTACTAGGCCGAGTGTCCAACCTCCCGCTTCCTCGCACTGTCTCGCTCGCTCACTCGGCAGGTTTGAACGAGCATTGTTTCGCCACTCGCCACTCGGCCAAATGATTGACGTCACGTCCTCAGATTAGAAAAAAAGAAAAGTCTCAATAGAACTGAACTGACTGTGCTAATTTCAAAACACGTGTGAAACTCGCTTACATCACTGTCACGGCCGAGTAATCATTTTACTGTCTCGCCCGTTTACTCGGTACGTGTGATCAAGGCATTAGATTGCAGATTAGATGCGTAAGTGACGTAGGTTGTAGGCAAGCAACCAAAATACTGACACCCCCACTCTCCTTCCCCACCCACGCGTTAATGGAATACGCCTATAATAATGAGTATGAAACGTAGAAGCAACGAAAATATTCCAAACATTCCTTTGAACATTTCCACTATTGAAACAGGTTCAAACACATTTTTATTCCCGGATTTGGGTATGTAACACAAAGCGTCATAAAAATAGAATCTAAAGTTAGCCATCGGCACACAGACCCACATATTTTTTAGGAGATAGCATTTTTATTACTGAGTTCACAATATTTCGACACAGCTGCATGTACCATGTGGATGATGCAACGATGTAGTCGTCTAGTTAAACTGCAACACACGATACGTTTCATAGGCCACCTCAAGCATCGGAGTGGGTGTATTACATTATGTAATGCATGTTCTCGTAGTTGTTCGCCTCATTAAAATATCAAAGACGTGCTCGCCAGTCGGACTCGCTGCGATAATTGCGCCGCGCAAGTTTTCACCAAGTTTCTTGCGAAGGCTCGTGGCGGGAGCGACGCCAGAGCAGCGAGTTGTATGCGTTATTTACAACTGCATTTATGTCGTCAATTTGAATAACAGCATAGTAAAAACCGAGCAAGAGCGATTTGTACTTCGCACATGAAACATCGCATAAGAAAAAATAGTTACAACTTAAAAAGTATGTAGGTATGTATTTGTTGCTATAGAAGCAACAGAAAATACAAATTTAATTCTGGTACTGTTAGTAACCAATCACCAAAATAATTTTTTCATAAGATGCTGTACTTCAGACAGACAACGGAGGCATATTCCCCATTCTGGGTATTGAACCCAAAAGATGAACATATTGTGTATTGTACCGCATTGTTAACAGTATCACAGAGTTGATAATACGACAAATGACTGCTCATCAGCTAACACGGCACATCCTAAGATCGCGCGACACAATTTAATTTCGGATAATTAGCTCGCAACGTGCTCGTATCCATACGGCGCTCCGGAAATTAAATTAAGCACAAGGGGAGTATTGATTGGAAGCTAATGAGCGAAATATTGGGATTGGCGTAAAGATTTTGATGCAGCGGTGAAAAGAAGAAATAGAAAGAAGTTTTTTGCAATAACTCTACCGCGCGTGTTTCGCATCGTTCGTGTAAATAAAGCCCTTTCTTCTAAACTTTAATTGACCCTGCCCCTGCTTCAGGATAATGCTAAGAAGTAACTTGAACGTATTATGATTTTGCACTGTAGTCTTTGCAACTATTTCAAAGGCAGTCAAACTCAAAACATTATAGACCTCTCTTGCAAATATCCATGAGTGGTGGTCACTGTTTCCTATCACTAAACTAACAGACAGTACACTACTATTGACCTTTCTTCCTCAAACAACGAGTTCAAAACTATTTTCCACATTATAAAATGTACTCGTATAGTGGCCAGTGAAGTACATTTATTTCCCCGCCCTCATTAAACCTGTCCTTCGGGCTTGAAAATGGATTTCCAAATATTCAGAACAATAGTCTTAATTTATTCACGGAATCAGTACCTAACCTACGCTCGTAACAAACTCATTGTCTAATGTATATTGTATGTTGTATAACTTTGTTTAATAAACTATTTAATGAAACGGGCAATTGGTATTACATGTCAAGGTAATGCTATGTATGTTGAGGACTAACAAATCTCATTGATTACATTCGTAATTATATGCAATATTGGTTTATGAAATGTTATTAAAATCAATGAGTTTAAGTTTAAATGAAATTATTTGGCTGTATAATATTCAAGAGTTTTTTTTTAAAGCATAACAAGGCAGGTATTTGACCACTGATCAGGACCACTTCATTGAATATTAGTCGCCTGCTTTTAAATATACTTTGAAAACAGAGTTTCAAATTCAGTTTTGTCTATAAAAGTTAGTTTCACTTTAATATCTTATTATCAATTCATTATTCTATTTCTGTATCTTTTTTGTCTGGCTGTTTAAACATTCAGTTTAAGACTTCTTAAAACTAAAAGAAACTTCTTAGATCCCGCCGTGCATACTGTCTAAGTCTGACTAAGTTTCCTTTCATCCAGTCTGAATTCAAAGTGGGCCATGGTGGAGTTTGAAAGCCGTATTAATCGCTCCAAGCTCACATTGTATTTAAACAGGGAAGGGTTAAAGAAAGCGGGTCTCGGAACTTTTCGAATTAATTAAAAAGACGGCTGATCTCGCGTCACCACCTCAGAAGAATCGCCACAGGCCAGGCGGAAAAGCAAACCCATTAAACCTCATCAAAGTTTATTGCAGTTAGATTATTAGTAAACAGAAACTATTTTACAGTTCACAAGGTAATTAATAACTTCCTAACAGGGCATTCAACAAGATTTTTCTTGGAATTGCTGTAATGGTAGAGCTAAGTTTCATCATGACACAAATATGCTCGAGTAGCATACGTTTACTTGCCCAACATAATCCTTTCTTGCTGTTAAGCGATTATCAACCAAGTGCCTCACAATATCACCTGCGTTTCAATGACCTGCCTGTCCTCCCCGCCCTACACAGCTGTTAACTAACCGGCTTATCCTCACATCTACAAAAGGTCGGAACTTTAATATGCTTTAAAAGTTTCAGAATATTTCACTGTTTCAGCCACTTAAGACAAATTGCGGGCCGTTTGGGGGTTTTTTCCTCGGATTCGTTGGGGCAATTTCACCGTCCGTTGCTTCGGTTGAATTTGCCATCGCAATTTTGAGGTTGGATTGCAGCGAAGGGGTTGGTTTATCAATACACGCTCTGGGGGAAGCAATCGCTGATATGATCCGAGCGAAGTACTTGGCTTCGTTGATGGAAGCTCAGTTAGTTTTGTAGGTTTGTTTTTCATCTAGGTCATCGATAAATTTATGTAGAAACGCTGAGGTGAAATAATTAGATGAGTTTTAAAACTGTTATCGATGGGTTTCAAAATCAAAATCAAAATTATCTTTATTTGTTTAGACTAATTAAATTAGTTC